ATTTACTAATTATATTTTAATAAAACTAATATATATTAAATCTACTAAAATATAAGTTTTTAGGGATATTTAGATCTTAGTTTATTTTCTAAAGTTTATAGAGTTTTTTAGTATTAAATAATATTTACAATTATTTATAATAAATATCTTGCCTTATAAGCAATAGCCTGGTAAGACTTCCTGCCCTTTATAGCCTGTATAATTAAAGCCTTAACTATATCTATAAATTTATAGTTTCTTTGGTACTTTATATATAAAATAGATAAAATTCTATCTATTTCTAATAAGAATTATTAAAGTTTTAGCTATATTTATAATTAGAGATTAGTCCGATTTTATCTAGTAAGTTGTCTGTTAGCGGGGCAGCGTCTAGAGACTTTTGGATATTAATTTTAGTATCTTTTAATTTCCCCTCGTACTAACAGTCGTCTCGCACTCCATTTCAACACAGTCGCTAACTACTAATTTTGTCCTCTCTTCTGCCACAAACTCTTTCTTCACAAATGAGTTGCAGATTTGTACATGTCTCGAAAGAGTGATGATTCAGCCCTATGCATCTAAGCACAATGAGGTGGTCTATTGGCAGACTGGTAGTTATCTTCTGTCCCATCTCCCTATGCTGTGCGGCAGAACTCGAAACGCGACAGAGCTCCATGGGATCAGCACAATTACCAGCCAATGATGACTTCATTCGACGAGCGCTACTGTCCGGTTAGCAAATATCTTCAATAACCCTCTAAGTGACTAACACAAATGCCAAGTTGCTGTCCTTGATGACTATCTTTATATCGACGGCGGAGAGGTTAGTTCCGACCTCGATGACTCGCGGTCAACAGCCGGTAAAGCAACGCCTTGATCAATACCGCGGGCAGTACTAATACCAATCAGTCAGTCTTACCCTCTCGATACCGCTGGATGAATCTTAGACAAACGATACAGTCGCCTTCACAGAGAGTGAGAAAGGACTATCGCCATATCTGAAACAACCAGCTCTTTGGGTTGATGAGGAACGTTCAATGATCTACTCATGGGGCGGTCAAGGATCTTACAAGAATACCTCAGCGGCCGGAGACCACCATTTATATGCCTTTGAGGCTGACGATGGCAAGGGAAGGTGGTCAATTCATGATCCTGATGACGACACATTGTTTAGCTCTTTGTATCGATCTGTGAGAGGAGCTTACACCACTTTTCACGGCGTCGGATACTATCTTGGTGGCTATGGCGAGCGTAGGACTGATGAGAGGTTCACTGACGGCAGTTATGTCGAACGACCACTTGACGGGCTGCTGACTTACAACATGACGACCCAAAAGTGGACAAACGAGTCCACAAAGGCACTGGACTACGCCACTTGGACAGGGAGGGCTACCTGTATACCTTCCATCGGTTCATCTGGATTATTGATCTTTATGGGTGGCGCAAAGGTTAAGACGCCATCTTTCAGAAACGAGTCAGAACCAGTGTCCTTCACCAATATTACAATATTCGACCCCAGCTCTAAAGAGTGGTACTACCAGCAAACATCAGGTGTTTCTCCAGATCCTAGAGTTGACTTTTGTTCTGTCGGTGTCCAGGGGCGAAACAATACATACGATATGTATGCTGTCAAAGTGGCTTCTAATGCTCGTTTTAGCTGACCGGATCTAGATACATCTACGGAGGCTGGAACACGTGGAACGACAAGACAACGGCCTTTGGCGATGTTTGGGTCTTGTCGCTTCCTGCCTTCAAATGGTTCAAGGCAGAAGTCGATGGTCCAAAGCGGGGAATGCATGGATGTGCTCTTGTTGGAAAGCGTCAGATGCTAAGCATAGGTGGGAATAACTGGGGTAAAGACGAAGGTTGGAAAGACAAGGATCCTTGGACCCAGGGAATTGGCATTCTCGACTTGCCGAGCTTGACTTGGTCTAGTGAGTATGATGCGGAAGCTGAGGATTACGAATCGCCAAAGGTTGTGAAAGATTGGTACCAGAGCGAGTAAGTATGCTGGTGTCCTTGATATTTGGCTTACTAACGTAAATCAGTGATGAGGTTGAGTGGGATAACAGAGAAGTAGCAAAGCTCTTTGGTAAGCCTACACTCTATGCTATATGCTGACGATGTTCTTGCTAACTGAAATAGCTTCAATGTCAACGACAACACCAAAGTCAACCGACGGCCCCAAATTTGATTCGTCTTCTAAAGACTCATCACCAACACCGGTTGGGGCTATCGCGGGCGGTGTAGTCGGTGGAGTTGCTGCCATAGTGGCTCTTGTCGGTATTTGGTTATGCATACGTCGTCGGAAGAGAAATGGCAGTAACGAAGTTCTACAAAACGGCGACGGAGATGCCACGAAGCAATGCGGCAAGTCGGAACTTCCGGCTGATAGTTCAAAGCAGAATGGTTTGCAAGAGTTGGAAAGTAACCAGGCTCCTACCGAGCTACCAGCATCTTCGTCCCGTGTTTTGGAGAATAAACGGTCAGAGAGGCATGAGTTGGAAGCTTAGAGATTGCACGATAACTGGGAGTATCGCAATACAACCATTATTGATTTCCGTCGGGTACCAGCTGACAGTCCATCGAATCTGTCGAGCTAAAAACAAAGGAGGAAGAGCTGATCCTGGGGAACGTGCTATACCCTTTGGGAGTCAGAGACTCTACCAATCAGTCAGCTATCTCGCGGACTTGAGGTTCACTCAAACCCAATCAGTCTATTCAGTCGAAGTCCAACTTAGAGTTACGTGAAAAAGGATGTAGTAAGCAAGCAGCCTGCTACACTTCCATGTCTAGCGAAGGCCATAATTACCAAAACCTCCTCTTATCATCACTTGTGGAGTACAGTGCTTAGTGGGTCATAGCCCGGTACCGGAGTCAGATAAGACCGCTTAGCTTGATGAATCATACCCGTCAGCCAGTCAAGGCACTTTTAAAGATTAGTTTTGCAGAAAAACATCATTTATTTGAACCTCACCATGACAACTGAAATCAACCTCATCACTGGCAATGCCAATAAGATAGCCGATATCAAAGCTATCCTCGCCCCGTCTGGAATCACCGTTCGCAATCAATCTCTCGATTTGCCCGAGATACAAGGATCGATCGAAGAAATCACAATCGCAAAATGTCGCACAGCCGCAGAAATGGTCAGATATCTTCCATATACTACGATTCATATTGACAACCAAGCAGGTCGGTGGTCCAGTCGTCGTGGATGATACAGCTCTTTGCTTCAATGCGATGAACGGCATGCCAGGACCTTACATAAAATTCTTCCTGGAGGCCTTAGGACCCGAAAAGTTACATCTCTTACTAGCCGGCTTCTCAGATAAAACGGCTGAAGCAGTTGCGACGATAGGATACTGTCAAGGTCCTGGTCATGAGCCTGTGCTGTTTCAGGGACGAATTGACGGGACGATCGTACCTGCGAGAGGCGTAATGCGATATGGATGGCAGACGTGCTTTCAGCCTCACGGGGGCGGTCTGACCTTAGCGGAGATGTCAGATGAGGAGAAGCATAAGATATCACATCTCGGCATAGCTTTGCAAAAGTTTACTACATGGCTGACTATGAACCACGGTTGTGCTCATGGCGAGGAGAATGATGGAAACCTATGACAAAGAGGCAGGACGCCTGCTCCAGGGTCGTGTAGCTGAAAGTACTTGATCGATCTCTCGTTCATTACAATAGTGGTTTATTTGTCCAGTATGATTGAGATGCAACCTTTTCATGACAACTACTTCAAAATGCGTTATCGATCTGAGAAAAGCTCAAAGTTACCCTGAAGCATGCACCTCAATCCGCTCGGACCCCACGACTACCCGGGTTGAATCACAGCCCTGTGGATATTTGTCCATTGGCGCTTACCATCAGTCTCGTGCCCGCTTACTCTGATTTTATCAACGCTTATTTTCATCACGATGACTTAACGCATAGTCTTATCAAGGCTTAAATGGCTAGTGGTTCAGAGACTGCTCGAGACTCTTCAAGCACGACGAATAAGAACAAACATTAGACTAGAGAACAAGCATGAGATCGTGATGGAAACAGTAATCAGACATTTCAATCTCAACCACGTACACATTGGTAGCCGCAGCATGCACATTTTGCCTGGTTCTAAATCCTGTCAGTCTCTTCAGAATATAATTTCGATCCTTTAAAGCCACCAATATGTTTGTCATCATCCATCATGGCCCGTTCTCATTTAATCGCGCTGATCAAAGTTACATTCCCCACCGCACAAACCACCACTTGGCCAACGTATCTCTCAACATGAAACCCAGAGCTGACATTCTGTCATCCGCCATCAGAAAGAAGGCTGGTTTCACCAAAAACGCCTCACAGCCCCCAATTCTCACCACGAGCATACTTTCCAGAGTAGTGCTAGTCGAATCCTACATGTTTCAAGGAAAAGCTTACCACCGAGATTAAAATAGGTCCGGCAGACATTCAATTGGCCAGATCTACGATCGTTGTGGCTAAGCAGATAAGATCCGCTAAGCTTAAAATTAAGGCACAGGTGCGAAATTCGTGTGATTGGTCTGAGCTGGTGCTGCGCCTTGGCGGTTTGGGCGTTTTGTTGCAACGAGCTGAACTGTTGCATGAAGTTTATGTATGCAGTGAGATCATCGAAATAGATTTGGCCTCATTTATTGGCTGAGGTCGTGAATCCTGCTCGTATAGCAAATCCTTCATGATCCGTTTCACTTTTGGAAGTGAGATGTGAAAGGACTGTTTGATGTCATGATGGGCTTCAATTTGGGCGAGGAAAATCTGATCACGGCTTATCCGCGATAACTTTCAGATGTTCAACATCTCAGTCTTGTCACAGATCACGTATATAAGAGACCACATCTGCCTTCACAAATCTACCATCTCATCTCATCATCACTCCATCAATTCACAACACTCTCTCCTCTCTCTTTCTTGACTTCAAATTTCCGTTCTCTTTTCGATTTCATCCTACCTTCAACGCCATGCACGCCTTCACAATCGCAACCGTCCTGGCGGGCGCTCTCAGCGTCGAAGCCGGTCCTCTCAAGCACGCCAAGCGCGTTCTCATGGGCCGTCTCGACGACGGAGCTCACGAGATTGAGCACAAGTTCCAGCCTGTCACCGATTTTGACACGGACGGCTGCTACTACACTTCTGCCATCGACAAGGACGGCAACACCAACCGCGGTCTCAGCCAGAAGGACGTTTACTTCAAGGGTCCGGCTGCTGATTGCCGTGAGCCAAACCGCCTGGAGAACAACAACGTCTACAGCCGAAAGCGCTGCAACAATGGTTGGTGCGCTATTATGTATGAGTATTACTTTGAGAAGGACCAGTCTTCGTAAGTTCACATCGCTACCGTTTAACTTCAATATCTGACCATATTATAGCTGGGGCACTATCAACGCTGCTGGCGGCGGTAACGGCCATACCCACGACTGGGAGAACGTCGTCGTGTTCGTCCAAGGCGAAGACGTCAAGCGTGTCGCCCCCTCATGCCATGGTGGCTACGAACACGCTACCAACACTCCCCGCCTCGATGGCCAGCGTGCCAAGGTTGTCTATCACAAGGACGGTGGCTTTACTCACTGCTGGCGCATGGCCAACGAAGCCGACGATCAGATTGAGAACTACACCGGTCAGTGGTTCATTGGCAACCTTGTTGGCTGGGACAACTGGCCTGTTGTTAACGGCCGATCTCTTCGAGACTACCTCTACGATGCTTGGAATGGTGGTGTTGGCCCTAAGTTCTGGGACAAGGATGATAGCTTCACTAAGAAGCTTGGTGAAGCCGCTGGTGATCAGTGCCCTGGCTTCGATCCCGCCAAGGACGAGTAGGGTTGCGAATTTGATGGTGGGCAATAAAGTTGGCTTTATATTCTTTGACTTTCTGGAAAAGAACTTTTCTTCGCAGATACATGCATATTTGGGGTTTTCTTATGTCGAGTGCTGAATAGATTCTGGCTTTGATACTGAACTGAGTTCCTATTCGAATATTTAAATTCTGGTGCACCTTTTCATGATGGCATATGATCTGAGTCTATACGTGCTTCCATCAATGCTTGTTCACTGTAAGCTTCCAACAATGTGTCGTATGTCTATCATGAGGCATGGACCCGATGAGAAGGATAGAGTCCAATAACAGCAGCATCTTGTAACTTGATCTAGTACTAAGTTCTGTCAGCTGATTTAAGCTCTCAGCCACGAGCCTCAACTGTAAATAACACATCTGGCTAACAACTTAGGCATTATACTATAATGACTAACCAATTGCTATAGCCAAAGGCTTAACTTGATCTAGAAATACCTAGCACAAATCCTTTTCTCGCGTTTATCCCAGTCACGAAGTTCACCGTCCTTGTACCCTCACTAGCTCGACACATCCAACAGACCTAGAGTGACGTTAAAAAACTGGTTTCCATCCTCATTATGCAGGGCATCGACAAAGTTCAGCATTCTCGTGTCTTCTTCGTAAGGGACATCGACAATGTATGATCCATTGTATTCACCACCTGCATAATTGTCGTCAAACTTGAACGAAAACCTGTCCGCACCAGGGTACCTTGGCTTGATCAGCCAGCGACAGGACGGTGTTACAGTCTTATCAGGCCACTGGTCCTGTACTTGCAGACCGTATTGTCCCCCAACGCAGAGCATGCGATCTTGGTTATCGCTGGGAACGAGGACCACGGGGTAGCTTCCAGTAGGGTCAAACTGATCTATGGTGATTGGAGGACCGTTGAACATGGACCATGAGAACGTTGGCTTTTCTACATTGGAGCCGATCCAGTTTTCTTCATCGGATCTGAGAGCTTCGATGTAAAGACCGCTGTGCACTCTCCAAATAAAGTCGTGGGTATCAAGAGGGTTGCTGATTATTCCCTCTGCCAGAGTGATAGACTCTTGTCCGACAGTGTCTTCGAAGTTCTGCTCCTGGGCAAGAAAATTGGCATTGTGGCGACTGATCGTATAGCTCCCCTCTTCGAAATTGACTTTAGGGTTATCAAGTGCCATTTGGAGAAGACTGATGCCTTTGGCGTATGCAACCCAGTAGTTCAAAGCCTAATCCTGTTAGCAACCTCGATTTTATCTAGGGGAGGGGATCAGACGAACCATAACCTTGGTCTTGGTGAAATACCCAAGGAAGTCTTCTGACTCATCAAAAGCTTGCTGAGCCGCTTGTTTCAGAAAGGAGCTGGCACTTGCGTCATTGAGAAAGGCGTTGATTTGGTCGAGATAGCCGGGGACATTATCGGCACTGGCCTGGAGACGATCGTCGAGGCGGCTTTGGAGGGATTGTGCCTGACTAACGCGAACCGAATCCGCCAAATTCTTGCTTGGAAGATCAAAAGCCTCCTGCATAATATCACCAATAGTCGAGTAATATGTCTCGATGTCGGAGATATAAGTCCCGAGGTCGTCTTTCCGAAGCTGCAAAAGAGTATCTGACAACTGATTTGACAGGCTCGCAACAGATGTCTCGATCTGTTTGACTTCTGTCAAAACATTGGCAATGTCTTGTCTTATCTTGTCGTTATCGCTTCCACCGTTGATTGATGCAAGACCTTGATCAAAGACCCATCCTGCACCTTTCCCCAGAATACTCTTGCCAACATTTGAGAGGATGAAGATTCCTCCAGTGACAAGAAGAGACGTCGTCATGCTGTACAAGGTGTTGGATATAACGACCGGATTGTATAAGGCCAACTCCAATCAGTCCTCAAGCAAGAGAATGGGCCGCTTTATATGACATGACAAAAGATTCGGTGTCCAGATCCGGGTCATGCTCTGTCAAGCCTCCTATTGGTGTAGCAAACTTTAGCCTGTCCGAGTGCAGGGAATTATTCTTGAATTACCAAGAACAGTTGATTAAACATACCGTCGTAAAATTTTCCAGTTAATAACCGCACGAGTCTTACCTATTCTGCATCTATTCCTCCATTTCCAACAATATTAGAAGATCTAGATCCCTCTAGCGGTCCAGGAAAATTCCAGTCGCTCCCAGCGATCAGGAATGCAGTTTAAATGTCGCGTGGAACTAAAGTCATGTGTTCTCCAAAACCAACGCGACTAAGTTTAGCGGAAGGAACGGACATTTTTTAGCCACACTCTAACTCTTGGATCGGCTGGAGGTCTCTTTAGCTTGTTCAGAAGATCTCAGATCTAGATACAGCGTGTCTCAAAACAGCCGCAATCGGCATAGAGCACTATCCCTAATGGTGGGAGAAAGCATGATCTTGGTCACATCTCCACAGGTTTATCGCATTTTTGCGTTCCAGCCAGATATAAGCTGTTTTCCGTTGAAAGTCATGACATCACTTTTTGGATCAACAATCGGGTAGAGCCATTTCATTGAGACTCAAGGCAAAAGATATAGCAAAAGTCACTCTAAACTAGCAAGGTCGTCATTAGGTCTCGAGTGTCGCACAAAAGTATAAATCAATTGCAAGTTCCTTGTCATAAGATCATGACAAGACCAAGAAGAGTGCTACATAGTTTCTAGAGTAACAAGAAGCCATGTGGATGTTGGCAGGCAGAAAAGAACAAATCACACGATCTCCATCCCGAGCCAAAGAAGCACTGATCCCAAAGATTGGCATCAGTCAGCTTAGTGCCAGCACTTGCCCCAAGCATCATTCTTGTTGCCGCCAAAGTTGATATCCCAGGCCTGCTTGCAAGTAGTCTCCCAGGGAGCACCGTCGATACCGCGGCCGATGCCCTTGTCAACGCACTACATAATCAGCTTCCATGCCCTATGAGTCCATGAACTGGGTACCTACAGAGTATCCGTCCCAATGGGTGTTGGGCTGGTTGGAACCCCAGAGGGCACAGGCAGCCTGGCCAAGATCCTGCCTGTATGAGCCGCGGACAGTGCAGCCACAGTTGTGGTGAATGTTGGCCATAGCGCTGGAAGGTCAGATTTGGTTGTTGCGTTGGAGAATAGATGACTTACGCGCCAAAGAAGAGGACGAGGAGGCTGAGAGTGTTCATCTTGAGTGAGATGTTTGAGTGCTGAGAGCTGTAGAAGTTGTTGTTGTAGTGTTGCTGGTGATGAGAGTGGTGAGTCACAAAAGAGATGGGAGACTTGATCTTTTTATATTTCGAGATCCTCCATAAGATTCACTGTCTTCCAGCCAGTTTTGCCTCATGGTCTGGCTTGAAGGGCCGTCTGGTCAGGCAACTGGCCAACCTCGTCCGCCGCATAGCAACTCGGCTCATGGAAGTCAACCATTATCCGACTTCATCATGACTGAAGCAACTGCCGAACCAAAGATCCCATACCGGCTCATCGGCATCATTAGTTCCACCTTCCATTCATGGAAAATCGTGAAGCTTTTCGTATCCCAGCCTATGAAGTTGCAATAACTTGGAAACATTGTTGTCCGAGACATACGATACTCTATACGCGGATATTAGAGTTCAACGAAGATAGTGCTCTCTATCCCCAGACATGGCGCGATGCACTTGGGTTCGTGTTGAAATGCGAGTCTCTCATTGGTTATGATGTAAGCGGGAGGTATCTCGACGCCTCATCGATGAACCTTGGGGGTACTATGCAGGCAATGGTATCCTGCAAACCTTCTTCGCATTAGAAAAAGCTTCTCTCGTGTAGTATTTCCAGGGACCGTTGCAATGCCGACAGGGCCGTCGCAACGTGCCGTCGCTGGAAGCGGCCCGCAAAGCATACCATACCAAAATGAAGCCCACGTGGGGGTTTCGGTGTGAGGCTATTTGCCCAATCGAACACCGAGCACGACCTTACGAATTGACCTATAGGGACACTTCAATTATATGTACAGACTATTTACACGAGTAAGTCCAAGTGAAAGTGGATCTAATAATATGCAATATTCCAAAATGGAGCAGAGGGGCATCAGGCTATACTCAGTCCATCGACTCATTTAATACCGGCAGATGATAGTGAGAGTCAAACCCCCAATCTATCGCGGATGAGGATAGCGGCGAGGAAGATCAACTCGTGTTCAGTTTGTGGCTTGCAAGACATCATGCGTTGTTTCGAACCTGTCGTGTATGAACTGCCGAGAATCGAAACCGGCGATGATTGAGTTCATGAGTGTCATGATGGAAGCGCGAAAGTCGTCAAGGTGCGAGAGACTCATCGGTAGTTGAGAATTTTTGAGTAACAAGCTCCGTGTCGACAATGAGGTCGTCATGAACGACAGGAACTATTTAAGACGGTATTCGTGTCCACATTGTTGGTTCACTCAACCATCATAACATCTTCATTCACACTTAAGCTCACTCCTCTACACTCAAAAAAGTTCCTTACCATGGCTCGTCTCATTCTCATCCTCGCCGCTCTGGCTACCGCTGCCTTTGCCAACACTTCCCCCAACAAGGCCCTCGAAAAGACCCCCTTCAAGGTCACCGAGGTCACCTACAAGGTCGGCGAGGTCTCCCAATGCATCACCCTCTCTCATCTTCAGGCCCTCGGCCATACCTTCACCAACCTCAACGCCACCGGTGACTACAAGCTCCCCGAGATCCCAAGCACCTACATCAACGATCCCACTGCCTGCATCCCCGAGTCTCTCTTCGACCAGTACTTTGAGCCCATCGTCGCCATCTCTAAGGAACAGAACCTTCTTGAGTCCTTTGACGCTGAGAAGGTTCACAGCCGTGATCTTGAAGTTCGCGCTCGCAACTGTCCTGAGATCAAGGATGCTGCTCTTGGCCGTGTTCACTCTTGGAGCTGTGATAGTGCGCCTCATCCTAGCTCTTGCCGATCTTGCGCCAACTTTTCTTCTATCAACTTTGTGGCTGCTTGTGTTGCTTGTGCGGCTAAGGCTAATCAGGAGAGTATCTTCTGCTGTGCTGCTGCGGCTACTACATTTGCTACCTACTACTCTCAGGTCTGTCTTGAGAAGTAGGCCTACCAGTTCTTTCTGTGGAATGAAAGGGGGAGAGGGGACGTCTTACTGTAGTCGCTCGTTTGGTTGAGGATAGTTGATGTTTTTCTGATATTAGTTTGCAGTTATTGGGTTTAGGCGAGTCTCTCATCTATTCCCGTCCACTCTTTAGGTATAGCTTTCTAGTACTATCGCCATGTTGTCTCCCAGGCAGCTGGTGTTTCAAATGATATTACTTGTTTTCTGAATATACCGATGGCATGCACCGTGATTTGTTCCACGCCTGTAAAGCAAGAATGAGAGACCTGGAATCTCAGCCAACAATGCAATGAGTAATAGATTCCTTGAGTAAACTGGCTCCGTCTTACTCCGCAAGGATCATTGCCAAGATCATGAGCATTCACATCCCTGTCAGCCTGTCTGTCAGCCTTACGGATACCTGACCAATCGCGTCAAGACATAGCCCAGATTTCATGCACTTGAAACTCGAACTTCCCCTCTTCAAACTCACATACTTTCAATACCGATTGCTCTCGTTGATGCCCATAGCCTACGCACCTAGGCGAAGTAGGCTCGAGAATCATGTCGGATTCTAAACGGCCATCCTTTAGAGCCTTTATTAGGCGCCTCAACTCTGGAAAAAACAACGAATCAGGCAATGACTCTACAGGCACTTCAGCAAGCACGCCACCCGTTTCTCAAGGTTTGTCTCAGTTCGCCCATATCGATACCATCAAAGGATACACCACTAATGCTTCATTGCAGGCAGATTCCCGGCTAATTTACCATCTGCTCTTGCATCATCGACGTCCGTGCCTTTAGGGAATATCGCGGTCACCAGAGATCCTTTAAGAGCAGATCTTTCCGTTGGATGTCCAGCTTCGAACGATAAACCAGGCAAGACCATATGGACATCTGATCATGAATCCAAATGCCAGCAAGCGCAGTTCCAGCAACTTTGGAAGCAAGCAATTGATAATGCCAAAGCATCGAAAGATGGTGAAAAGTTGACAGAAGTCCTTCGAGTTCAGGAACAAGCTTCGGCAGAAGATGCCGAGATAACCCTACCAACCTTGATAAAAAGACTGGAGATTGAGATAAAGCGGTTTGGCACACATAAGAGGCTGGCTGAAGCGATGGAAAAGATTATCCCGCATCTCAATAGATTCGCTGTTGTTGGCGATATCGCTGTCAGCACGAATCCCAACCCCGCTGCCCTCCCATGGGCTGCGGTACGCTTCCTTCTTCTGGTATATCGCCCCCTCAATAGTGCCTGTACTTTGAAGTCAAGCTAAGCTTATTCAGAATCTTACAGCTGGGGAAGAGATTAGAGGCAAGGTTATCGAAGGCGTCGCCGAAATCACTTTTCTGGTCTTTGAATGCCCCGTTTACCACGAGCTTTACCTAGCTTCGCCAGCTTCCACAGACCTTCCTATCCATACAAACCTCAGACAGACAATTATCGATGCCCTGTCTCGCTGTATAAGGTTTCTTGGATTTGCTCTCCGTCATCAACAAGCATCAGCAAAGGCTTTCACAGATGCATTCCGCTTAGAGGATTTTACAGGATATTTGAAAGACCTCAATGTTTCGAAAGACAAGCTACATGATGCTGGTTTCTTATGTGAGATTCATCACAGCTCTCAAAGCCGAGATGAACTCAGGTCTTTGCATGATCTGATTGTGGATATGAGACTAGAGTCCAGGTATGAATCAAGAGCGCGGTATGGCGCCATATGCTAATATACGTCTAGTGAAAAGGGGGAAGAAAGGGTCAAGTCACAGCTGAGCGATCTTCTTATCGATCCCAAAGACGTCTTCGATCATATCTATCATCCACGCGACTCATTCTGCCTTGAGGGAACGCGAGTACAGGTTCTCGATGACATAGAACAGTGGGCTCACGATCCCTCAAGTCCGACCATCTGCTGGCTTCCAGGTCTTGCTGGCACAGGCAAGAGCACCATTTCTCGTACTATTTCTTGAAACCTAAAAGCTCAAGGCCTCGGCGCCAGCTCCTTCTTCAAGAAAGGTGCAGGCAATCGAGGAAATGGCCAGCATTTGTTCTCTATACTGGCATATCAACTCGCCTTACATCTCCCTCCCATCCTTCCCTATATCTTGGGGGCTGTGAAAGAGGATCGATCGCTAGCCATGGCGCCTATTCAAATCCAATGGCAGAAGCTGATCCTAGATCCACTTGTCAAACTGCAAGATGGGGGACTCATCAAACCTATCGTTTTCGTTCTTGATGCATTGGATGAATGTGATGAACAAGACCGTGGTGAGATCTTTCGTCTACTACTAGCGACATGCCCTAGGATACTGAGAGTCTTTCTTACGAGCAGACCAGAGCTTGATATCATGGGTTACTTTGCCAACGAACCTCTTCACAAAGAAATCGTGCTTCACAAGCTACAGCTGGAAACTATCGAAAGTGACTTACGTGCTTACCTCCTCCAGGCTATGGAGAGTTTCGTCGTGGATTACAATCGCACTCATCGCCAGAAGCATCTCCAATTATCTTCAAGTTGGCCTGGAGATGAACGATTCGAGTTACTGCTTCACAGAGCCCTACCATTATTCATCGCAGCTGTGACCTTTGTTCGCATGATCTGTGATAGACACTGGGCAAAGAGTCCTGATTATAAAATCGGCTTCATCACTGATAAGTCATCGAAAGTCAACTCTGCGTATGAGTCTCTGTACAAGCCGGTTCTAAGCCTCATATTGAGCGGTGCGCCTCATGAAGATCAGGATGAAGTTAAACAGAGTTTTGTGGATATCATTGGCTCTCTTGTATTACTCGCTAGCCCTCTGTCGATAATCCCACTTGCTAAGCTTCTGGGCGTTGATACATGGTCTATATCCAGCCAGGTCGACCCACTGCGTTCTGTGATTGATGTCCCTGAAGATGATAGCCCTCTCCGGCTATTTCATCTTTCGTTCCGAGATTACATCCTTAGTCAATCTGCTGGGGATCTACAGGTGGACGAAATGGTCATACAGGCCAGACTGGCAAATAGATGTCTGAGACTTATGCGAGAAACTTTGAAGCCTGATATCTGTGGACTTTCGTCTCCGGGAAAGAGTCACTTAGACATTGAGCCATCTGTTATCGATGATTACTTGTCTGCAGAAATCCAGTATGCCTGTTTGTATTGGATGCATCATTTGAAAGCAAGTGGTGGCCGTGTCCAAGACGACGATGATACGCATCGCTTTCTGCAAAGTTTCTTTTCGAACTGGCTTGAGGTTTTGTGTCTCTTAAGAAGGCTGGACGACGCCCTCCGGATGCTCCAAGAGTTGCAGGGAATGGTTGACGTAAGTAACATCTGGCGGACTCCTTGAATACCAATGCTTACGGTTACGACAGGAGACTTCAGGAGCAGGAGTACTGCAATTCATCCAAGATTCAATACAATTCATTCGCTATTTCCATGCCGGCATAGAAGAAACTCCTCTCCAGATATACCATTCTGGAACCATCTTCAGCCCAAAAGGAAGCATTGCTCCCGCTCCACTCAAAAACCGCCATTACCCGGACTATATCATGCAGCCCTCCAACATAGATTCAAACTGGCCACAGAGCCAAACCCTAGAGGTTTTCTATGGCATGATCTCAAAGATAGCCTTTCTGCCTGATAACAAGCTAGCCTCGGTTTGCAACATGGGAGAACTTATAGTTTGGGACCAGAGGTCATGCTCTCGTCTGCACAGCCTGAGTAACGGGTTTAAACGGGGATATATAACGGCTCTGGCCTGGTACAGCAGCAGAATAATAGCAGTGGGATGGCCTGAGATGATCAAGATTTGGAACCTTGACAGTGGTGTATGCGTTTGGAGCTTCCCCTTCACGGCTGGTTCAGGTGCTGAAAGAATGGCATTCTCAGATGATGGCAAGTCTATTTTCTCAGTAGGTACGCGTGATTTTGAACGTGTAGTGTTCATCCACAGTCTCGACACAGGGAAATGCGTTTCTAAGTTCGAGATACCAGACAAACCCTGGCCTATACTCTTGTCGCCGAAAGGTCAGTGGATAGCAGCTTTTGCACAGAACTCCATGCTTCTTTCACAATGGAGTAACTCCACAAAGCTGTCTTGGACTGTCTTAGGACCTCAACATGAACATGACTTCTTCAATTTCTCAAGCGATGGCACTCTGGTGGCTTCACTCTCATCGAGATCAAAAATGGTCAGGGTCTGGAGCACAGAGTCAAACAAATGTATTCACAACTTGAACTTTGAGACGCCGATTATCCATAATCACCTGGCTCTCAATAAGGACTGGCTTGTGGTCAGTCTCGATAATCATCGGACTCTCGTTCTTGATATGAGAACAGGGGCCGTTTCCAAGACTGTCTGCTGTTTCTTCAAGACTGGACCTGTTATTTCAGATGACGGGACCTTACTCGCGGGCCAGTCATTGGAAGGAGCCGTCAGGATATGGGATCTTGCATCAAGGAGTTTGGCGGACACCGAAGACGCCGAACAACCCATGGGAATAGAATTAGTGACCCCCTTTACGGATGACAACACTATACTCTCTTATTGTTGGGGAATCGCCAAGATCTGGGATATGGAGAGTGCAGTCTGTAAAGAGGCACTAGAACCAGAAGTCCCCTTGGAGAGCCAGACATTCGTAGCAGCTGCAACTGGTGCACCGGTATTCGCCATATTGAAAGACACAACCGTTGAGATTTGGGAAACAAGCCCTCTGCATCATGTCAGCACCTTCGAACGGACGTTCAGTTGTCTTGGAGAGCGTTATTACTGTCTCGCCATCTCTGCTAATGGTGAGCGACTGGCTGTTGGGTCTTCTGAGCCCGGTTCAATTGAGGTTTGGGATGTGAAAAATGCAGTTCTCCAGCATACACTGGACGTTCCGTTGGCAGATTTTCCCTGTGTAGCGTTTTCACCGGACGCCGCCACAATTGCATACAGATTATGGGGAGCCATCGAGGTTCGCTGTCTACCTGGACTCGAGACACTGACTATTAAAATTGAGATGGAGCCGCGTAGTGGCGTTCTTACGCACTCTGACTTTTAGGGGCGAACGACTCATAGGGGTATATTCGAATACCCAGGTGCAGGTCTGGAATACATCTACAGGGGAAAGTCTATTTCTCTCCCAGCCACGTCCGAAGCTTCCACTATTCAGCCCAACGACCAGTTTTCTCAACCTTGATGCCGTTGTCCAAGGTGGTCAGACGGACGATGGCGTGCTGGGAACATATTACATCGGACTGGATCCTGCTTGGGTTCTGAGGAACGGTGAGAGGATCCTCTGGCTGCCACCAGATTACAAATCCCAGTCCGCATACATGTCAGGAACGACGATGGTCCTTGGAAGATGTTCCGGGCGTGTATTATTTCTGTACCTGAAAGAGTAGATTCAAGGCGTAAGTAATTCATACTTCAGCTTAATCTCTCCAGTGTACAGAGTAGGATGTTATTAGAGGAATGTACACTAGTGAGCGATTGGTTGTAACTACGATGGAAGTTATTCCAAGACATTGCAAGGAGTCTCAATTTACCCACGAATCAGAATTAATGGTCAAAAATGTTCCCGCCAAAGACCGTTTTTCAAAACAAGCTACGGAGTAACTAACGCAGGGGTAATAACTGACCCCCTGTTGGAATTCCCGACTAAGCCTAGACCGGGACTTGTTTGCGAACTTCAGATTCGTACAAGTTCCAGTCGGTCATAAACACTATTGAAACATATTACCGACTAAAACACCGATAACCGAGGCTTTTTTGTTTATCCTCCACTGAAAATATGTCGATGGTGATGTGGAGAAAGTAACTTGGCCATCGGAATTTAGAAAGGGAATGAATATCGAAGGGCCTTTAGTCGAGGACCATGCTTATTTGTGTCAGATCGCGCTGTGGCGGTACTAGTGATATCAGAAGTTAGACCCATGTTATCACATTGCATTCTCTGGGAAGGCTAGCGCTCATATGGGACTATCGGGACCCGCGGGCTTATTAGCATGATGGCGATCAGGAAAACTCACCAAAATGCGGCACGAGATTGAAGTAATCAAACTTTAAAGACCTCAGTTGAGTTGCAGAGAAAACACATGCATTTACCTCACCCACATGATACTCATCTGTCGTTAGTGGAACATTTGCTAGCCGCAGGTACGAAAAATCAGTGTCGCAACATCAGCAGTGGCAGTCATTCACAAACAAGTGGTTCAGGAGTTCAGCCAGAAAGATTTTATTTACAAGAAGTATATCTAGTTTACAAAGAAAGCTGAAGAAGATTTCCTTCTTATCAAGTCCAGAATCATATTTTCCTCCAAGACGCCAGCGCATGACATGACTTCAAAACACCACGTCCCGCGTGCATCATGTCAAATCACTGACATCTAATCATTTCACTTACTGCACACGCTTAGAAACGGTGGGCAGCGAAGTGGCGAGCGTGGCGGCGGGCCTTGGAAGAACCAGAAGAGCATCCGCTGCTGGCACCGTTGCCGGCAGAGGGGAGAGGAGTGGTCTCGGCGGCAACGGGGGTAGGCTGGGGGGTGGTGTCGGCAGAGTCGGGGACATCGGGGACAACGGGAGCCGCAGAAGACTCGGTAGCGGAAGTAGGGGCGGTAGAAGGAGCAGCGGAACCCTCGGTGGGAGAGGCGCCAGAGTCAGAGCCAGAGTCGGAGCCAGAGTCGGAGCCAGAATCAGCACCGCCCTCAACAGTCTTGGTGACATCACCGCCGGCACCATCAGCGGAACCACGAATGGTACCACCGGGGATGACATCGGGACCAGGCATAACATCGTAAGAGGTAGAGCTTCCCCAGAGGCTGAAGTTGACAGCAGCGTCGTCCTGCTTGTAGACACCGGGGATGGAGACAGAAGTACCGGGAATGGTGGTGGCGCTGTTACCAGTGACCTCGACCTGAGCACAAGCATAGTAGAACTCAGCCTCGCCGGCGTGAGCACCGTGGAGAGCAATGTGCTCACCACGGAGAAGGTACTGTCCATTGGGAAGAGTAGAAGGAATCTTGAAGTGGACAGAGTCCTCATCCCAAGAGCACCAGGCAGTGGAGCGGAGAGACTCAGCGTTGCCGGACTTGCAGATCAAAGCCTGGTGAATCTTGTACCACTTGAGGTCATAAGGGCTGTCACTGGTAGCGTCCTTGACAGCAGCAGCGTAGACCTGGATAGGACCAGGGTGCTGCATTCCAGTGCCGCCGAAAGCCTGCTTAAGACCAATCTCATCGCCAGCCTTGACCTTGAAGACGTCGGCAGAGGGGGTAGAGCCCTTGTTGCAGGTGAAGTCCTTGTCGGTGGGAGAGATGGAACCATCGGGAATGCCCTTGAACTTGGTAGGCATGTAGCCGTTCTGGTGCTTGCGGATGTACTGGTTATCAGTCCCCTCCTGGACACCACCGAGGGTGAGCTTGTCAAAGGTGTAGTGAGCGCTGACGGCGGAGGCCAGGCTGAGAAGAGCGGAAACGTAAGTGGTGGTCTTCATGATGAAATGATTGAAATGGTAAAGTCGCAAGCGAACTTGATAGAATGAATGTTAAGGTAAAAGAATGAGAAGAGAGACTAGCTCTTTGAAACGAATGAAATGGACTGATTGGAAAAGGATGCTTCTTGTCATTCTGGATGGTCCGTTGAAGATGTTTATATACCAACTCATCGTCGTCGTGTAGTGGGAGTCGTCGTTCGGGACAAGGTTATATTGGACAAGGTTATTCTTGACAAGGTTTGGCGCCAGCTTGCTTTACCGTTTACGCTTAACTCTGTCTCAAGTTGTTAAAAACGCAAGGGTCATGGCGGCCTGTTTGCCATGTCCCGTCTTGGCTTGAACCGTGGAATTTTTCCATCTGTTTCCACCTGTTGTCGTGTTTCGATGATGGACCTTCAATTTTACTCCAGACGTTTAGTTTCTCGGCGGATCAACGTGATTTGCTGAGATCCCTTGTTCTTGGTTTCATCGTGTTTCAATGACAGGGGAGGTTTTGCTGACTTGGGGTTTAGTAATTGGGTTTGACCAATTACGGTCTTATCGTTATCTTGCGGCTCCGTGGATTCAGGTGCTAAGCGGAAGCTAATATTTTGTACCTACAGTGTAATATCTTTAAGGTGATTTAGAGTTTATACCTGACAAGAACCATACAGGTAAGCTAACCTTGACGCATATTGTCGTTGGTAGTATGTACTCCGTAAGTTAGAGGCTCACTGACAAGCCCCCTCTGTTTCACGTATATTGAACTGTTGGGTGCCCTTCCCCACCGCTTCAGACGTTTCAGCCATTCTAAAATCGGCTAGCCCACGTCGCTGTGATCATGACACTAATCCCAATTGACCTTAAGTCTCGTTTGAGCTCGTTCAAGGTCCCGACTCATTGGAACGATGTCTGTTCGCAAGACAAGGAATATCACATCAGGCCATTGCTGTTTTTGCCGCACCTCTTCAGGCCGGCAGTTCGTATTGACTTGAAGCCCCTTGAGCATTGCTTCAGCTTCCGGTAGCATGAGGGGAAGAATAAACAGCTTTGTAAAGCTGACGTAGATCATAATGTCGCTATTATGCCAACATATTCGCCTGCAGCTCAGACAAGCGAATCTTTCCACGGGTAGTGGGATACTCGACAATGTTCTCTCAGCTTATGGTCTACGATAAGCGCGCCCCTAGCAGATGGGCTGAACCACGATCAAAGCACAGAGCAGCCATTACGCTCTTCATCCGGCATAGCTCGTGCAAAGTGATCATATCAAAGATCACTCACTAGGGGGATAAGGAGCCCGGAGCCGCAAGGACCTGTTCACCTGCAACTAAGCGCTGCTGCAGTTCAAAGCCACCAATCAAGCAACTGGTACTGAAAGTTCAAGATGGTGGCGCGTCATCGCATTTGTGTGCGGGCGGAAAGATGTAAGGCAAATTGAAGGGAGCAGCATCTGATTACACATGGCATGGGTACTCTGTATAAGCAGCAGAATACACTTTCGCATACAAGTCAGACGGACTTGGCATTGCGAATGGTTACGTGGCATGGGACTTGGGAGTCAGAGATAGGGGGAGGGGAGGGTTTGGAGGGAACAATGCACAGTGGATAATCCGATGTGGGCTATGGAATAGATACGTATGTATTTGCAGTGCAGACTTGTGACTAGGGAGCATAGAATCACCTCACGGGATAACTCGGTATCATCGACCATCGTTATCGCTTTCACTACAAGGTTCCGGGATCTTACTTTGAGTTTGAGTTTGGTGAACTCTACATAGAGTTTACTACGGCTTTACGGTCGAGTGCGAGTGATGATGTTTCCCCTTACATCAAGTCAACTTTGAATGGGGGGACATTGTTGCGGGCAGTCCGGTATTTGCAGGACAGACTTGCATGTTCTCATGGGTCTTATGCGCGACACAAGCAGTCAAAGCCTCGCATCACAGCTTCCGTCTGGTGACTCCAGTCTCGCGAGGGCAGAGTATCGAGGCTGGCAGAAGCGAAGACGTCGGAGTGGTCTTGCGGGAGCTGCAAGGTGGATGTGAGAGCAGATTGATGGCTTGGAGAAGTGAAAACAGCGAGCTGTCCAGAGTCGAAACGCTGCGTCATGTCTTGTCGTTGGTGGTGAATGTCTTCGGTAGGTGAGTTTGTGGGGAAGCTGTAGAGAAGGAAGAGAGTCGGACTCTTGGTATTTATACTCCCGTCATTCCCGCGGCAGTGGAAGTCATTGACAACAAAGTGGGTTTAGTTCTGGTGGGGCACAAGATAAGACAGAGCAGAGAAGTGAAGTATCTCTCAATGCCTTACCCTACATTTAATCGAAGAGCACTTATCTTTATTCGAGTAATGAATGCTCTTTGGCAACTAGTTGGTACAATTTTACCTATTCACTCTAACAGTAATCAATTTATTGTCCCCTCCGTGAGATTTCCAGATGCCGTTTCCAGTGGAAAAGCATCGTCCTCGCCATTTGGCATCATTGTCCTGTCTACGAAATGATGACATATTCCTGGACATCGCATCACGAATCTCATAGGCGCGGTAATCATAGAGGCGCAGTCAATGATGACATTACTGAATTC